TCGTTGCTGTTCGACTTCGCTCCTTCGACGACGTTCCCTTCCTGTCTGATCGGACGTTACAACATTTTGATCTGAAGCAACGACGGGAGCTCCCTCTCGCTCGCTGTGAAGGTAACTTTCTCCCTTTCGCGCGCTTCTTCGGCCAAATCCCGTAAATCCGACTTCTAGCGGGATTAGGATTTACCGGCATTTAGGGGTTTTACGCCATAAATCCGCAAATCCGGGATTTACGAATTTACCGTGCCATTTTTTGCGTTTGGCTGGTTTTACCGTAAATCCTACTAAAAACTCTAAATAAATCCGATACCAAACACCCCCGAAGGGTTCATCACAGTCCACTAAAATTCCCAATAGGCAAAAAAGCATCCCGTGGATAGAAGTCAAAGGTATCCAAATCACAAAATCCAAATCCAAATCATCCATCCAAGCCAACACAACTGAAGAAAGAATGTCCGCTAAATAACTATAAATCTAAAAAATGGGGAAACAAAGACCTCCAAAAAAGGCATCAGCAGACAAAATATCGCAAACAAGTAAAAGAAAAACCAATCATATGACAAAAATCCCCAATCTCCATCCAAGGCTTCTAACAAAAGTTGAAAACAAACACAAAGGGCCAAGTTTGGGAGAAGATGACGAATATGCACATAATTTTTCTAGGATGCAATTTTAAGATGAATTAAAATGAAGGGCCTTCTTAATTTTAAAACAAGTCTATGAGGAGCTGCAAAATTCATTCCCATACATTCTAGTATTTTTTCTCTCCAAATGTAGTAAAGAGAGCAAGAAACATCAATAAAATAGAAGTTCTTAACATGAATCCCAATATTCTCCATTTCAGAAATTGAAGACAACAGTTGAAGCTGTGAAGGTCTAAAGAGAAAAAGTTGAGGCCAAGGGATGAAGTGGTTAATGCTGCCAAAAGAGTGAAGGCATTCGAATAATAGAAGGGTAGTGGATTCATTAGACTCTAAGCAAAAAAAATAAGGATTAAGATGAATATTCATCTTAATTAAAATATCTAATATTTTTAAATCTTCAACAACAGCTTGCAAAGAGAAAACATTATATCTCAAAGAAATTTTTTTGTGCAATATGAGTGGATGCTAAGGAACCGAGGCCTGATCATGATAAAAATCATAAAGGAAAGTTTTAAAGCTGAGAAAGGTTTATTCTTCCAAGAGATGCCACAATCATCACCAATAGCAATGATATGAATCAAGCATTTAAGGTCCACATGAAGATCTTGTGGAAGGAGCCATCCAAAACCAGTAATAAAGGTAGAAACATAGACATCTTGAGGAATATGATATAATAATTGATTTGAATGTAGAAGCTCGTATAGGTTTCGGCCTCCAGGCAGCTAGGGATCCCAATGGAAAGAAAAGAGATACTCAATTAAAATTTTAAGTCATATTACATTTGATTTTACTACCAGCAAGGATACTTGCTTCCAAAATCTATATGCATAAATGGATGACTCATTCTAAGTAGAAACATATTTACGTATGCACCAACCAACAAGTGAAGAGTTTGTATAAACAAGTCTCCAAATGAAAGAGGGGAAATAAACATGATAAAGGCAAGCTATAACCCCCCAGATCAATGGGTTTGCAGGAATTCTTCCATGATACCAAGTGTAACTTTTTAAGATTAATGTCTCTATGATTGAGAAATCTAGCACATGCTCTGTTTATAAACTTGAAATATGATTTGGGCAAAATAATACCTCTTATCCCATTGGCAAATACTTAAATTAAAGCTTTCTAGCACAAGAGATGAATGTAGCTTTCCACTCATATAATTGATTACTAATTCTTTACAACAAAGGTTGAAAATCAAAAGTGAAAAGCCTCTTAGAAGAAATGAGAATGCTCAAATATTTAAAAGAGATATCCACTTTGTCGATGCTGAGGATGCCACAAACTTCCCGAGAGTTTTACACATGTTTGGAGAAGGAGATGCAACACTTAAATGGGTTGAGATAAAGGCCAGAGATCATAACAAAGACATTAAAAATGTTAATTATGTTAGATGTAATGTGGAGAGTACATTCACCAAATATGCGAACGTCATCAATATATAGGAGGTGGGAAACCTGAAAGTTGTAATACCTAAATCCAACAAATGGATTGAGAGGTTAGAAAGACCATCCATCACAATATAAAAGAGATAACGGGATAATGGGCACCCTTGCCTAAGCCCAATAGTAGAATTAAAATATCCATGAAGAGCACAATTGAAGCTGATAGAGAAGTTTACATCAACAATACAAGCCTTAATCCATGATACAATAATGGAGGAAAACCTTTTTGGAGTAGCTTTTGAATGAAAAAATCCCTAGAAACTGTGTTAAATGCTTTGTATATATATAATTTGGTTCATAAAATACTTTGCTTTACCTTACAAAAAAGCCTCCCTTAAAATATCAACAACAAAGAAATGTTATAAGTAGAGAGTCTACTAGTTGGATGTGCATGGAGCAAGCAATGAAGTGATTTTGAGGGTTTGATTTTCTTTAGAAGTGCTTGAAGCATTTAATTTGACTTTGGTTGACTATATGATTGATTTGGTCAATTAGGTCAAACCAAGGGTTAGGATTGGGTCTAACATATTCAAAATTATATATTTGATCCAATGGAGGTGGTCTCATGTAATGACGAGGCCATTTAATTTGAAATGTATGTTTGGGCCCTTAAAGGGGCATTTGGTCAATCATATTTGACTTGGTTAACTAGCTCAAACTAGGGGTGTAAGTGAGCCGAGCCAGCTTGCAAGATGGCTCGAGCTCGACTCGTTTATGGGCCCATGAGCCGAACTTATCGAGCTCACGAGTCGAGCTCGAGCTCAAACTGGAGCTCGTTTATTAAACGAGCTCAAGTTCGAGCTTGAGCCAGCTCGGCTCAAATAACTTTTAAATTTAAATTATTTTTTTTTAATCCGGTCTAAAACATTATTATATGAAACAAATTATTTTCTAATCCAGCCCAAAACACGTTGGGCTCGAGGTTTTGCAACTCGCGTACCGAAGTTGCATAGGGCTCGAAGACAATGTGACAGATGGACGCATGGATTTGAATTTTGAGAGAGAGACATTAGTCCTCTTGAGCATTAATGCATTTAATATTAATTCTTTGGCTTTGAGCGGGTTGGAGAAAAGTTGAATCCATATTTTGGGAATCAGGTGAGCGGGAGAAAAGCTTTATTTGGCCTATTCTTTAATATTAAATACTAAAGTTTAAATGTACTGCAGCATTTAACATTTAATATTAAAGCTGAATTCATACTTCGGGAATTGGGCGGATAGGATTCACTTGCGGGAAGCCTAATTCTGGCTTGTTAAGCCGCTCGATAAGCTGGCTTGCAGTGCAACGAGTCAAGCTCGAGTTCGAGCTGATTACCTGACCGATGAGTTGGGCTTGATAAGAGCCAAAACTTGACATGACTCAACTCGTTTACACCCCTAGCTCAAACCAAGAGTTGGGTTTGAGTTCAATGCACTCCTAATGATGTATAGGATGCATTAGAAGAGGTTCCATGGCTTAGTTTGATTGATCCGTATTGAAGTTAAGAGAAAACTTCAATTTGGCCCGTAGGGGCTTTAGGGTTAAGTGGGCCCATGGTCAACTTTGGGTCAACCAAGGTCCATAAAAGTTTAGCTTTTGCGTTTAACATGTCATAAATATGTTTATGGACTTGTTCAAATGTTTTGTGGAAGGTCTCAAGGTCAAATTCCACAAGATGCAAAGCACGTGGGTATAAGTTGTAAATATTTGAAGGTTTTATAGTTTTTGTTTCAATTCATCTTTAGGAGTTAGAGATCTTGGATTGACCTCAAATTTAGAGGGCTAACCATAGGGACATGCCTAATAAATATGCAATTGAAAAACCATAAATCCAATGTCATTTGATTTAGTTTTGTGGTGATTGAAAAATCACCCAAAAAGGGTTATGGGATATGGGCTTGAGCCTTGATTTTTTGGTTTGAAGTTTTGGATTTGCCTTTGATTTTGAATTTGATTGATTGAATTTGATTCACCTACATCAATGAAAATCATTCAAGTGATTGTTAATGATTGGGTGGAGGAGATCAAGTGGTGATCATTAGGTGACCATTACTTGTGGGAATTTGTATTTGATTTTTTTAATTTATTTAGTTAACCTCACTTGAAAATGAGGTCAAAATCTACTTAAGCAGGTTGATGATCCGGGGGGGGGGGGGAGGGGGGGGGGGGTAAAGAGGAGGTGGGGGTTGTATGTGGAGGGATTTGAGAAATTGAGATTGATGGGCTGAATGTATTACATAGTACAAATAAAAATTATGATTAGGTTAAAATTATTTAATATATTAGCGTTAATTTTTTTTTATAAAATTTAATTCATGAGTAACTAATATATTATGTGATCTTAATTAAAATTTATTTAGTTTAATTAAAATGATAAATCTTGGCCTGCTAAGGAATGAGAAGAAAGAGAGTTAATACTTTTAGATGCTATTAATTAATTATTTAAATATTTTTATAATGTTATATAATAATTATTTTTATTGAAATTATATTAATCAGACTATTTATTTTAATTTTTAATTACTAATTATTTAATAAAGCTTTTCATCTACCGAATTTCTTCGTTACTGATTGCTTTTCCTCGTAGCCAGTTCTTAGTGCTGGAATAGTGTGTTGAAGGAATCGCTAAAGAAGCTTCTCCGGCTCCTTCCAGGACGTCGGAGCGGAAGTCACGATGAGAGCTCGCTCTGCGACGGTGACCATCTTTATCCCTTTCGCGCGCTTCTTCGGCTAAATCCCGTAAATCGGCCGAACTAGGATTCAGTAAATCCGGGATTTACGGTAAAAAGACGGAAACGGAGGATTTATTCCGCCATGAGATTTACCAGGCGCTCAAGTTCCGTTCGCTCAAATCCTGCTTAAATTTTGTTGCCAAACAGCCCCTAAAGGTACATTTGAGCATCTCACCCGTCACGAAGATTTCTTTCTTTTCAACTGTTCTTGCATGAAAGATATGGTGATGGTATGAAATGCTGGTTCCTGTTTAATTAATGGAAAGCCATTCCTTTTTAAGAACTGGACTTGGAATTTTCAACCAGTGCTGCTGGAATGAAGCAGGTTTGTCAAAAGTAGCGATTAAATTAGGAATTTCACTAGACATTGATGACCTCACTTCAACCAAACCACGCATAATCTTTGCTGGAATATGTGTTAAAATCAAATTCTCCTCACCTCATCCTGACTCAATATCTCTAAATTTGAATGTTTTCAAAAGTTTTCTCAGAAATGTACAATATGGTTGAAAGCCGGGGGCTGTTTGGTAGCATCTTGGATTTGATTTAAGTAGGATTTCGTAAATCCTCTAAATCTGGATTTCGAAAATCCTGAGAGGCTTAAATCCTGAAAACTGTTTGGTAACATTCATGATAAATCCTCTTAAATCTCATGTAACTGTTTGGCTATAGAGGAGGATTTACTGAGGGATTCTTTCTCTAGCATCATGGATTTCGTAACTCCAGCAAAATACAGGATTTGGGAAATCCGGAATTTAGAGCGAATCGGCGGAATTTTCGGTCCGAGGATTTCGTTTGTGGTGAGATTTGGATTTGCATTTTAGGCCGTTTGGCTGGATTTCGCCCAAATCTGGGCATAAATCCGCCTAAATCTGCATACCAAACAGCCCTTAAGGTGTGATGCATTTACTCATGTTGATTCTACCAGCGCTCTCTAGCACCAGCTCAACCCATTTCTGAGTTTCGTGGTAGAAGTCAAGGTGGTTCTCCACGCAATTATGGTTTTGTTCTCGCAATAAGAAAATGGCCACCCCTCTGAATATTGTCAATCCATTCGGTGAGGTTCACTTTTTCTCTAGATCTCACATACCCATTGAAATGCTTTCTGGAAACCCCTCGGCTGTGGTTGAGTTGGGATCCATTCCCTCTACAATATCCTTTCTATTCTCTACAGACTCAATCGACTCTCCTCTTACAAATGCTCCATTGCAGATTATTCTACCCTCCATCCCATCTCTTTCTTATATGGTTTGGAAGTTTGTTCTTCCTTCCCTCCCCATCCCCCTAATAACATTCCCCGTGATAAGAAAAAACACCCCTTCCGAAGTTCAACTCCTCCTAGCTTACTCTAAAAAAAGGACCATCCAAATCATAACTGTCTCAGTCTTATGTCAACTTCATGTATACGTTCATAAAATGTGTGTGCTCTCAAGTGAAGAGCGCATTTTGACTATCATCATTTCATTGAGAATTACAATATTGACATTTTTTCCTTTTGGAGACAGAAAATAAATAGTCTCTACTCAATTCTAGATTCAACTAGAATCTCAAGGCTTTGGTCTAGAGGATAGTTCTAACAATTTCTTCCATGCCTATTGATGTTGTATATGGATTTAGTGGATTGAGTGAACTTCACTTCCCTTTTTTCCTTCTTGTTTGTGTTTGCTTGGAAAAGCAATATTCTTCAATTCATTTTCATCCTTCTTGACAGTCATTTATGTTCAGAATGTTTCTTTTGTAATAATGGGCATATGGGATGCCATTAGTAATCTCCCCTCTAACATTTCTCATAATTAGGTTTTTTTTGGGGGATTTCAACTATTCTCGGTCATATAAAAATAAAGTGGGTGGTAGAATGCCTCTACTCACTAAATATATCGACTTGACAGAGTGCATCCTTAACTTTGGATTATATGAGCTTCCTAATGTTAGCCTTTCATAACTTTTGGTTTAACAAACAACAAACAATTGTAGGCAACAATCACATATCAGATTTATTAGATTTTTTGTTATGCCTCCTGGTTAAAAAAATTTTCCCTCTCTTTTTATGTGTTCCAACAACTTTCATAGGATCACTTCCCTTTGATTTTGAAAATGCAATTGACTTCTCCCTCTCCTCAGCGTAGATTCTTCTTAAAAAAATTTTATACATGATGTGATGGTTATTCTGTTGTTCTCTTATGGGCATAGAATCATTTATTTATGGGGGACCTCATCCACATGCTTGACAAGAAGATGAAATATGTTAAAATAGCTCTAAAACAAGCTTCTTGTCATAAGGCTGGTCATTTTTACCAACCTACTATTGGCTATTGAGTTGCGCTCTCAGCAGGAGGTAACATTTAATAAAATAATTGTGGAACCACAACTTGCTCTTGGAAGTTAATTCCAAAAGGGAGTTACTTCTTTTGGTTTTCTCCTGTGAAATCAAATGGATGAACAACGTGCCAGAAATTGCTTGGTTCTCTAGATGTGTTGAAGATCTTAAGTTCCTTTATTAGAGGAGAAAAATGCATGAAAAATATGAATCTGATTAAAGATATTCACACTTGATGCATAGCATCTTAACTAAATTGTTCCTTAGGCATATTTTAATTAGTTTGTTATGTGCTTCTTACAAGTATCTTCTAGAGTATTCTATTTAGCTTATATAAGCAAGTTTTGTAGTAGGAAAAGGCATTGAAGAATATTAAGACATTTTAAAGCTTTGAAGTTTTGTTTCTCTTCTTCCCTGGATTGGGATCGAAATCCTTCTTGCAGGTCGATTCTTCCGACCATCCACTACATCAGTTGGTATCAGAGCCCGGAGCTTGTGAAGATCGATGGACTGCGGAAGAAGGTCGGATGTCGACGACGATCGAAGTCGCAGAATAAGAATGGCGGTCAACGACGATCGACGCCAAGGAAGGTGGGCTGTCGACGATGCTCGAAGCCGGATCGCCTTCTATTAAGCTCAAGCGAAGGAATCACTTGATCTGGTAGACAGAAACCTTGATCGGATTGACAGAAACCTTCGGGCAATAAGGAAGATGCGAATGTCGTCGGCAACCATACCGAGGTATTCTTCTTCATCTTCGCTCTCCTCGTCCGCTCCACGCAAACGCCATCAGTCCCGCCGTTCTCCCACCGTCGTTGATGACTACCCTCCGCTTGAGTTTCCGCTCCGATGACGCGATCCTCCTTCGCTTCATTGCCAGATCCGTGTTCCCGAACCTCCATTTTCTTCTATTCCCACCACCGCCGTTGATTCAAACCATCGCTCAAGTGGCGATCCGAGAGCCTACACTTGCTTTAGTTCACCCGAATTGGCCGATCCCACTCCCGCTCCCACTAGACCTGTCAACAATTGATCCGACCCGAAAACCCGATCCGAAACCGACCCGAAATTCTCTGGTTCAGGTTGACCCGGTTAAATAACGGGTCGGGTTAGGGTCTGGAATTTCGACCCATTTAGCTATTCGGGTCGGGTCCGGGTTAACCCGGAAACCCGATAGTAACCCGAAATGACCCGCGACTTTAACAATTTAGGGCGTCTGTCGAGCGACGAGCGGGGTCATATCTCATTTGTTCTCGACTTCTCGTATCGCACTCTCGCTCCGTCTCCTGAGTACTGGCAGAACTGGCTTCTGTTTAGGTTTTCCGATTCTCTTAGTCTCCTCTCCGCCTCTCAGTCTCCTTTAATCGGCTCTCAGTCTCGTCGGCACTCGGCACGACGGCGTCTACGCTTACGCTTCACACATTCCCTAATCTATTTCACTGTTTGTATCTCGTTTCTCATTTCTATTAGTATTTTTTGATAGTTTAGCTTTAGAAGATGAAGACATGAAGGTTTTGACTTTGATATTTTGTGTTCTTCATTTTATCATATTTTGTGATCTTCAATCCCGTATTCCGGTGAATTCTATTGCTCTGTTAGGGTTTATTTCGGGTCTTTCGGCTAGGGTTATAAAAATTTGGCAATTCTTGAAATAATGTTGGCAAATGGCAATGGTGTTTAAGACTTTAAGTGATTAAGCAACATATTGATTTTTCTCTACTCTCTAGCTTTGAGTCCTTGAGGCAGTTAGCTGTTACTCTGTTAGCCGGTTAGGGAATCTTGTATTTTTTTCCCATTCCTGTTTTGGTTATTAA